TGGAGCGGGCAGTAGCCTTGCATGGTTCAAAGCCAAAAACGATCCCTCAGGACATGTTGGAGAAGTGTGACTGGTGCCTGACTTTTTCTGGCCCCTCTGCCAGCCTCCTGCTCCCTGTACGTAACCGTTTTTAGTCATTCCCCGCGCAGACTTTTAGGTTTTTTAGGGAAGCGTTAACAACATACAAAAGGTAGAGTATTGTCTTCACTGTTGCGTACCTTGCTTTAAACCTGTGCTAAGCGTGCCCCTACTCTCTCTCAGAGCTGCACAGCATCCCCTTTGTTGGTCACGCAGAAGTGGACTTCAGTCCCTAGCCATGGACACTGGGGTCCTTCCCAGGCTCCTGCTGTTACAGACAAAGCCTTCGTGAAAAACAATCATTTTATGCGTGGGCAGGTGTCTCTGTGGTGGAGATCCCCAGAAGTGGGTTTGCCCGATCACATGCTGAGTGAGTCTGACTCTGGGTAAACATTGCCTGCCAGATGTCCCTTCCCATGGACTCCCTCCCCTTCCCACTCCCTACAGTGGTGTTTCTGAACCTCACCCCTCCCCAGTTATAGCAGTCTAAGGAGGGAAATAAAATTGAATTTAAATTGCCTCCAAAGAGAGGGGGGGCACGTGGCTGGCTGGGTCAGCAGAGCACGTGACTCTTGATCGCGGGGTCATGAGTTCAAGCCCCACATTTGGCATAGGGCCTACTTTAAAAACAAAAAAATGTATTGTCCCTAAAGAGAAAAATACGAAGGAGTAAGATTTTGGCGGGTAAAGTTAAGCTTTGGAAAGCCACAAATAATTAATGTCTAAGGTGGTGTTTTTTTTTTTTTGTCTTTTTTTTTTGCATCCCCAAGAACCAATTTTGACCTTCTCAGGTGATGTCCCTACCTGCCGGCTCCCCACACCCCCTGCCTTGAGAGCAGCCGGCAGACGCGGTGTGTTGTCGTCCCCTGGTGGTGGGAAATGGTATCTCACTGTGGCTTGCTTGCCTTTTTTTTTTTTTTTTTTTAAACCAGCTCCAGTATAATTGACCTATAACTACACATATTTAAACTGTGCCTTTAGGGGCGCCTGGGTGGCTCAGTCGGTTAAGCATCGACTTCAGCTCAGGTCATGATCTCACAGCTTGTGGGTTCCAGCCCCCACGTCAGGCTCTGGGCTGACAGCTCAGAGCCGGGAGCCTACTTGGGATTCTGTCTCCCTCTCTGTCTGCTCTCCCCTACTCGTGCTTCCCCCTCTTAGAATAAATAAATAAACATTAAAAAAATAAAATAAAACCTTTGCCTAATCCGAGGCTAAAGAAGCTACTCTTTATTTTTGCACACACCTCTGGGACTGCACATTTGGGTACATGTGGGTTTTCACATTTTCACACCCAGAGGAAACGGACGTATCCCTCTTAGACCCAGTGAAACGCTTTGGTAACAGTGTCTGGGCTGCACCCAGGTGTACATGTGCACGTTTTGTTTGGTTGTTTTCTCAGTCCAGCACTTGGGACCCCCCAACACATTTGTGATCAGTGAGGTTCTCGCCGCTGGGACATCGGGCTTGGGCGTCGTAAAACCCAGCGGTGGGTGGCTCGGGGGAGGAGGCTCTTTATCAGTGGTGGGTCCTGCTGTACCCACCACCTTCAGCTAAGATTTAACTGATGCACGCGGTATGGCTTCCTTCCAACGTGCCCCTTTCCCGGGGTGCCGCACCCCTGTAGTGGGCTCTCCCACCATGATGTATTATTGTATATAGCTGTGCTGTGAGCCCCCACGGCATTAGGGCTGTGAGGTGCCCGTGGGGTGCGGGGTCCCCTCGGTGAGAGGGTCGGTGCACCGTCGTCTGTCACAGCCCTCCTGGGCCTTGTCCTTCACGCTCTGCCTGTGCGGTAATGGCTGCGGTGCGCCCCAGCCTCTGAAGTATGAAGAGTGGACCCGCGTCCCCGGGGGCTTGTCAACAAGGAGGGGCACCAGGGCGGGTGCCCAGGGGCTGTAGGGCAAGGCTCAGCGGGTTATGCCTCCAGGAGAGGTGTAACCCTCCTTCCCTGAGGGCACACAAGAGGGAGAGGGCTTTCAGCTGGAGCCCACAGAAGCCCCTCCCTGCCCGGTGCCCAGTGCCCAGTGCCCAGTGTGGGCCCCAACAAGGTGATTCGGGTGAACTGGCCCCGGAATAACCCAGGCTTCCTCTCCGCAGGCTTCTGGGGAAGGAGTGCCAGCTCCTGGCTGTGCGGGCTCCTGCTCTTGGCTGCTCTTGTCTGGGCTTCTACAGGTGAGAGTCTGGGGACGTCCCTGGGGTCCCTGTGGTGGGCTGGGGTTTATTATAGCTAATTGACTTTAATTCATGAAAACGGTCAGGGTTTTGGCCCACAGCCGTGGTCCCGGAGAAGGTGTTACCCACATGGTCGCTGTCATTTTGCAGATAAGGAAATGAGGAAACACGGTGGTGTTTTCTGCCTCAGGTGCCCACTTCGCAGGGACGCAGACCCCCAGCCAGCGCTCGGCTCTGCTCCCTGATGAGTTGTCGGCATTTATAGGTTCCCTGGGGAGAGGTGGGGGGCAGAGGGCTTCTGAAGGCAGTGTTTTACAGCCGGTTAGAAACACCGGTTACATAGAGCTCACACCGTGCTTTAAATGCATTTACCGAAAACAGATAACACTTTTTTTTTTTTACTGCCTTTCATTTGTTTAAAACAAACAGTAAAGTTTATGTTTCCAAACAAACTTAGTAAAATTGCATTCCCTTAAAAAAAATAGAATCTTAGTGGATCCTTTTCAGTGCACTGGTTTTTATTCAAGGTGAAACTGTCCCTGGCCTCAACTTTGAGGTGGAAACTGAATGTTCACATGTACAGTCGAGACCACAGGAAGGCATTTTCACGTGGTGGTTAACCTTGAGAGCTGTACGCGTTTTCACTGATGACTTCCGTAAAGTAATTTGTTAGGGGTTCACACTTACTGGATGTGGTATCCTGTGCTGGGCACTGAGCGAAATGCTTGACGGACATTCTTGTACATTCTCTCAACAACCTGTAAGATCTGCATTATTGTCCCCGTTTCACACCCGAGGAAGGTGAGGCTCCAGAGGTTAAGGTGAGACGCGGGTTATAAGGTAGGAAGTGGCAAGGCCAAGACGCAAACCCTTCCAAACCCACTTGCCGGGCCCCTGAGGGCGAGTCGACCTGGGGCCAGCATCTCATCTCGGGGCTGCGGGTCCAGCCAGTGCGTGCTCTGGAAAACGGTGCCCTCACTCTGTCGGACACGTCAACACATTGCCCTGGAGAGGCGTTTACTGAGCCTGGTGTTGGTGTGCGTGCCCCAGGATGTCACCGTCAGTGGGACAGCTCCTTGTCTCGAGCGGTGTCCGATCTGGTAGGGGGAATACCCAGGTGATAGGCTGCCACAAGACTGGGGACAGGCTTTCCCGGATCTCGCAGGACGAAGACACGCCTTGGTCCGCCAGAGGTGGACACTGGCCAGGGCTTTGAAGGGCCAGTCTGGTCTAAGCGACAAGTGCTGGTGGAACCGATGGAACAGTGCCGGTGGGGGCAGTGGTACTCGTCCAGGTGGCCCCTGCCCACCGCGTGGGGGTTGTAGACCAGCACAGGGACCTCCTGAGTTGCTGTGCTGTCCTCCCGGGGCCTGGTGTCCACTTCGGAGCTTGCCTGCGTCCGGCTGCGGGTCAGGGGGCTGAGCTGGCTCCACAGTCTGTCTGGCAGGTGATCAAGGCCCCACCTGAACTTTATAGGGCAGCAGAACTCCGTCCTCTGCGAGCGGCCTGTCCCGATGTCTGATTCTTAGAACGTGCCCTTGAACTACATGAGAACATTCTTCCTTGTAGCGTAAGGACCCCAGGGAGCGCTGAGAGCATGTGGCGCCTTCGGTGTCATGCCTTCAGCTTTTTGGAGACCCCTGTCCCCGCACCCTGCCGCTCCCCGCTGGGTCCCAGTTCTGAAGCCCCTCACCCCGCCCGGACTCACTGAAGTTCACAACATGTGTTACAGCAAGTTTCCCAGGGTGGCAGCCCAATGGGTCTGGGGTCTGGGGTCTGGCCTCTTTTCTCCATCGAGATGCCATGGTTCTTTTGGGTTATTCATCCAGCGCCTCCTTCCTCGGCATTATCCCGTGTTTCGATCTTGTTTTTTCTTCTTTTCTCCCTCATTTCGACACACCTTGGATTCCTTTTTAATTTTTTTAGACTGGTAAATGTTTGTTTATTTATTTATTTATTTATTTATTTATTTTTCCAACGTTTATTTATTTTTGGGACAGAGAGAGACAGAGCATGAACGGGGGAGGGGCAGAGAGAGAGGGAGACACAGAATCGGAAACAGGCTCCAGGCTCTGAGCCATCAGCCCAGAGCCCGACGCGGGGCTCGAACTCACGGACCGCGAGATCGTGACCTGGCTGAAGTCGGACGCTTAACCGACTGCGCCACCCAGGCGCCCTAGACTGGTAAATGTTTAGTACCCAAAAGACTCACCCGATTATTACATTAAGTTTCCTTCTAAAATATTTATTTATTTTGAGAGAGAGAGGAGGGGCAGCAAAGGAGAGAGAGAATCTCAAGCAGGCTCCACACTGTCAGCACAGAGCCCACCATGGGGCTCGAACTCACGAATTGTGAGCTCATGACCTGAGCAGAAATCAAGCGTCGGCGCTTAAGCGACTGAGCCACCCAGGCGCCCCCCCGGCTCCCTTCTGTGTTTTAACAGGCCCCCTAGGTGATTTGGACGCAGGCCGACATCGGTCTCTCTTTCTCTCTCTCTCTCTCTCTCACAAAACAAAACAAAACAAAACAAAACAGAAAATAGAAGCGGGGGGGTGCCTGGGTGGCTCAGTGGATTGAGTGTCTGACTCTTGATTTTAGCTCAGATCATGAGCCGGGTGGGGGTTGTGGGATCAGGCTCCACACTGAGCGTGGATCCTGCTTGGGATCTCTCTCTCCACCCCCCCCCCACCCCTCTCCCTGACTCATACACTCTCTCTATCTCTAAAGAAAAATAAAAGAGAGAGAGAGAAATAAACATAAAGGAATATAGAAAGGAGGCATGACTCTAGACTTGAGAGTGTCCGCAGGTCACCTGGGGAACTTGTTAGAAAGAGAGCTTTCTACCTACACACCCCTCCTGAGTGCTCAGCACTGTGCAGGGGCCAGGAATTGCATCTAGAAACGACTCCTCAGGTCAACGGGATGCCGCGGTCCTCGGCCCTGCTGTTGGTTACTGTGGTGATGGGATGGCGTTACAATGGTCCAGGTGACCAGCGGGAGTGGGGATGGAGCCAGAAGGGCTCTGGTCGGGCCCCACGTCCATTTTCTCAGGAGCCAGAGGCCAAAAGGGTGAGAATGTGTGTGTTAGAGTCTCAGCCTCGAACCCCCATCCTGTCGGTCCTCCCGCCCAGCGAAGACTCAGTTTCACACTCTTGTTTGTCCCCCAGCAATGTCTTCAGGCTGATTCCCGGACGGAGGCGGATGGGAGAGTCTCGAAGGTAATGGCGGCGTCTTTGGATTCAGGGCGGTTCCTTCTAGAAAGATCTAGAGCAGAAATAGAAATATACGTATGTACTGAATTGGAGGTACTTCTAACCAGAGACCCTCGGTTCCCAGTGTGACTCCCGAGTCCCTCCCTCCACCGTGTTTTCTCAGACCTTGACAAAGGACAAGGCAGAGAAAGTTCTAGCTTGTGCTGGAGAGAACACGTTTACAGAGTTCATGCACTGCCCAGCGGGCTGTGCGGCAAGGCCAGGATTGTGGGAGGGGTAGCGCCTGGTATGGGTTCCGGGGTCCCTTCAGCCGCTTCGACGGGGCCGAGCGGGGGTGGGGGCCCCCTGACCCCGTCAGGGCCCAGACAGGTCGAGGCTCAGTGTCCTCTCAGAGCTCATTCCTTCCAGAGCTGGCCTCTCTGGCCACCTGTGAACAGATAAGGTGACAGCTCCCAACCGGGACGCGTCACGAGCCCCCAGGGCGTGGCCCGACCCCAGTTCTCTCTCCGTCCAGCTTGGGGGGCCCACACATGCTGGTCGGATGGCCAGGTGGATGGTGGGCTCAGCTGGTGTCCCTTTTCTCTCCAGCAGCACCGAGGGCCGTCCCCTGCAGGGCCAACGGGAGAGCCTGCCATCGAGGTAGTGACTTCCACTCCTTCCTCCTCCCTCACAAACACTGGCCTTCGTCGGCCCCACTGAACTCCATCCAGGAGCCTGTCTCCCCTCCCCCCACCCCCAGGCCCGGCTGGGGTCCCCAGGGGCGGGTGGGGAGGGGGGATGCACACCTAATCCTGGCCTGGGGCGCCCCCCCCCCCTCTTGAGGGCACGGCTCTTTGTTGGCAATCGCTACTTTTCACGAAGTGGGTCGACGGAACCTTTCCTCCGTCAGCCAGGATGGCCGCCGTGTGGTCCCGCAGGGGATGCTGCTGGAGACAGAGCAGTGCAGGTGAGGGGTGGGGAGCGGGGCTCCCGGGGCTGACAGGGTGAGGGGGGGCCTTGCCAGAGCTCTCCTGGGGATCCCAGGACCCACAGGGGCAGCCACGGCTCCTGCCTCCTGGTCTCTGCTCCTCCTCCCCAGGTGTGTGTGTGTGTGTTGGGGGGGCAGTTTCTCGCGAGGCCGTGGTCACGCCCTGCGGGTGGGGCCGTGCACCATGCTCCCAGACACGGCCAGCGTGTCCAGGGTTTCTCGGCCCTGCTTCAGACCCCTGCTCCACTCCCCTGGCCCAGGCTCGGCATCACACGGGAACTTTCTCCTCAGGGGCCATGACGTGGCTGGCCCTGGAGGAGACCTGCCCACTGGCGCGGGCGCGCTTCCCCCAGGACCCGGCCCTGGGCTGAGTGCTCTCTGTTTCCCTCCCTCAGTGAAAGGGACTGCCCCCCGGACGCCTGCAGAGTCCCTGAAGTTGCCAGGTATGGGGACCACCTCTTCGGGTGTTTCTGTGCCTCTTTCGGAGCAAGTCAACATGTGCCTCCCCATCCCCTTCCTCACCCCCACCCAGTCCAAGGCCTGATTCCCGGGGGAGAGGAGGGTGATGGGGGCACAGGAGAACGGGAGGAGACGTTAGATGATGGGGGCCACAGGGGGTTTCCACTTGACCTCCAGCCGTGGGGCTGCTCAGTGTCATGCCCGTGGCACACTCAGCCCCGGCTTCTCCGCCCTCAGCTCAGCTAACACCGGAGGATGATGTGGCCCGGGGAGGGCATGGAGGTGGGCGCGGCATGGGGGCTGGATGGGGTGGGGGTGGGCCTTCGTAGTTGTGAGGTAGACCCATGTTAGGACTTACAACACAGGGAGAGAGAGAGAGGGAGAGAGAGGAAGGAGATGTGGGGAGTCTAGAGCCTTGGCAGTTACCAGAGACCTTGAGGCGTGACCCCCTTTCCTCTGCTTGGCTTTTAGCCTCATCGGTTTATCACTGGGAAGCCTGTGGCGTCCCCAGGGCTGGGTGGGCACGTTTGACCGCTGTCTGTCTAGTGAGTGGACAAGTGACTAGTGGACAAGAGGAAGAAAGGAAGGAGGGAAGGAGGAGGAAGGCAGGAGGGCGGACGGGCAGGCTGGCAGTCCTGTGGTGCTCCTGGCACAGCTGGCCATCTAGATGGGGAGGACGGCACCTTGCAGCTGTGGGCGTAGACTGCCTGGCTCCGAGACGCTTCTGGGTGCGACTGTCCGCCTCCCTGACGCGTGTCTTCTCTGCAGGATGGTTTACCCCAAGGCCCAGCTCCTGCAGCCTGCGTAACTTAGCACATCCCTGCTGTGGCCACCGGCCCGCCTCGAGTTCTCCTCTCCCTCACTGCCACCTGTCCTAGCCTTTTCTTTTCCTTCTCTTGCCGTGAGAGGGGGCTGGGCTCATTGCTAACGGGTCTGGTCCCGGGCGAGGGTGCCAGGGAAGGCGCCTCCAACTCCTGGGCCCAGGGAGCATGGGTGTCCACAGAAGGCACGGAACCCTCTCTCATCTCTTCCTGGGGACGCAGGACAGGTCTGGGCTGGGTTCCCCCGGTGCAGGCGCCCGGCCTCCTCAGCCCGCACCTCCTGGCTGTTCTGCCCCAGATGGCGCTGGCAGCCGGTCCCCCTGTGGCCTCAGACAGGAAGGTCGCCCTGAGGCCACGCTGGTCAGCCCTCGCTTTACAAGCAGGGAAACTGAGGCTCAGAGAAGTGAAGGTGCTTGCCTGAGCTGTGCGACCGGCCAGGGCGCGGTCGGGTTCCAAGCCCAGGCCGCGCGACCTCCCTGCCGGGAGAGCTGCGAGTGCGCACTGTCATTTCTGACACCAGTACCCACGCCTCCTTGAGTCCTTAGAGCCACCCGGAGGCCGTGACACCTGACACGTGACCTCCCTGGAATGAGAGGGCTGTCCCTGGGGAGGACACACACACACACACACACACACACACACACACACACCCCAGGTCCGAAGCGCTCCATTTAAAATATCTCAAAAATACAAAGTCTCTTATTTTAAAAACCGATCACGTATTGAAAGGATGGTGCTTTGGACGTCGCGGGTTAAACAACATACACCAGATTAATTGTAACTTTACCTGAGACAGAGCATGAGTGGGGGAGGGGCAGAGGGAGACACAGGGTCAGAAGCAGGATCCAGGCTCTGAGCCGTCAGCACAGAGCCCGACGCGGGGCTCAAACTCACAAACCGTGAGATCGTGACCTGAGCCGAAGTTGGGCGCTCAACCGACTGAGCCCCCCAGGCGCCCCTCACCTGGTCACTTTTACCTTTGTGTGCTTACTAGAACAATTTTAAGTTACAAATCTCTGTTGGACACAGCCCATCTGGAGGGATGGGCTGGCGTGAGCCTGTTCCCGTGGGTCGTGGAGCCGTGTCCCGAGAAGCCATGAGTGAACGGGCACTCGTGAGACGGGATGGGAGGAGAGGAGAGAGGCGTCCGTGCGGGCTAGGGTGGAGAAGGGACAGAGAACGTTCTGTGGGGCTACACTGGGGGGAGGGGAAGCCCTTGAGATGGGAGGGGGCTGGAAGCCTAGCTTTGTCCCTGAAGAAAACTCGTGTTACCCCCTACTCCCAGCAAACAGGTCGGTTTCCCACGGGGAACGATGCCGCCGCTCCCCCCCAGTCAGCAGCCCCCATGGCGGGGGCTCACTCCCACAGCCCGCCCCCCGCCCCCCACGTGCCAGTCGCAAGTTCTAGGTTGTCACCTGTGCTTTGGACGGACTGGCTGTAGCTCAGGGTCCCACCGGCCCCTCCTCGGGCTTGATGACTTTCTAGAGTGGCTCCAGAACCCAAGAAGACCGTCTACTCTAGAGTCTCGGCGTATCACCAAGGTCGCGGGAGCAGCCAGGGGCACAGGTCCCCAGGGGGCGGCGTGGGGAGGCCAGGGAGCCTCCGTGCCCTCTCGGACCCCGTCGTCAGGATCTGGTGGAGGCTCCCTCACACGCGCACCTGCCGGGAGGGTGGGGGCTGGGGCTGCAGTGTCACGCTTCTGACCACGGCGTGGTCTTTCCGGTGGCCAGTCCCCATCCCGAACCATCCAGGAGCCCGCCCCGGGTCCCCTCATTAAAACAAAAGGTGTCTCTATCACCCAGGAAGTTCCAAGGGGTTTAGGAGCCCCGTGTCGGGATCTGGGGTCAAAGACTGAATATATGTTTCTTATGGCCAAGTCCCTATTGCTGGGAAAGGGCTTGGCTATTGCTCTCACTGAGATACAGCTCCTTCTCGGAAATGGGGTTGGGGGCCTCCCAGAAGGAGTGTCCTGTGGGGCCCAGCACTCGGCGGTGCTCAGGAGACACTCCATGCGGGGCAGTGAGGGAATGGCAGGGTCAGGGCTCAGGGGCTGAGCTTGTGAGGCAGAGAGCACTGGATTGGGAGTCTGGAATCCCGGCTGCGTCTAACTGCGCTTCTCGTGGACTGTGGACTTTTGGTCCTTCCTTCCCTGGCCCACCTTTCCATGCCCTGCTCTAACGCACTGTGACCTGTTCCCTCTAGGAGGGCAGATGTGCTGGTCATGACCCCCTGGTTTGCTCCTGTCATCTGGGACGGGGTCTTTGACTCTGCCATTCTGGATGCACAATTCGAAAACACCACCGTTGGACTGACCATTTTTGCCATCAGAAAGTGAGATCTGGGACGCCTGGGTGGCTCAGCCGGTTAAGTGTCTGACTCTTTGGCTCAGGTCATGATCTCACAGCACCTGGGTCTGAGCTCCGAGCTGGGCTCTGCCCTGATAGTGTGGAGCCGGCTTGGGATTCTCTCTCTCCCTCTCTCTCTCTGGCCCTCCCCTGCGCTCTCTCTCTCTCTCTCTCTCTCTCTCTCTCAGAATAAATAAACTTAAAGAAAAAAATAGGTAGGTAAGATCTTGGCAACTGTGCGGAGAAGGACACGTGCCCAAGCTAAACCAGGAAGCCAAGCCCCAGGTAGGGGGCACTCCTCACCAGATGTCTCTCTTTGCCAGGATGGGGTGCTCACAGGGGGAGGCGGAGGCGTGGGTGGCTTTGTGGACAGGTGAACCTGGTGGGATTTGCACGGGCCACCAGGCACACCCCTGCTCAAAATAGCAGCCCCACACCTGAGAGTCGTCTGCTCCAGAAGTGACCGTATCAACCATTCAGAGGCCTGGCAGCCACTGCTGACCACTTAGCAGGACTAACCCTGTGACCCAAACCCATGAGCAGGTGCTCGGCCGCCCCGATGCGTTCCCCTGGGAGGCTGACTGAGGCTTGGCGTCCCATTTAGCTGGAGCAGGCTTACTATGCGGTGGAGTTGGACCTGAAGGCTCCAAGCTGCATTTACGGCTTTGGGGTTAGCTTGTTTGCTTTGGAAACCGGCTCGTGTTTCACATCCGGCACCTTCGCCGGCATGTGTCGGGCGCCTTTGCACGTCGGCACACGCAGACCTTCCTCATTCTTTTCGAACGGCTGCCCACTCTTACTCCAGAGCCACTGCATTCCCCACTTGAGCTGACCGTTCCGGAGAGCTGCCTCAGGCAGCACCCTTGCAGACAACCTCGCATCGCGAAACTTTTCAGTTGCGCGGCCGAGTTGCGAAAACGTCACAGTGAACGTGTGTCTGCCCACCACCCGGACTCCGCCGCTAACGTTCTTGTTTTTCCCCTTCTCACTTTGCCTGGTTTTATTGGGATATAATCAATATATAACATCGTCTCGATGTAAAGCGTACAACATAATCGTCTGATGTGTGTATGTGTCGTGAAACGATCACCCCAGGAGGACCTACTCTCGGCAACTTTCAAATATGCGATACGGTATGTCAGCTGCAGTGGCCATGCTGTGCGCTCCGTTCCCACAACTGATTTATCTTATGTCTGGAAATCCGTACCTTTCGACCACCTTCACCGCTTTCCCCAGTCCTGCACCTCTTGCCCCTGGTAACCACTTATTGTCTGTTTCTATGGATTCGGGGTTTTTTGGTTTTGTTTTTGTTATTTAAAGACTCCACATATAAGTGGGATCACACAGTACTTATCTGTCTCTCTCTGGCTTATTTCACTTACATAATGGCTTCGAGTGTCAACCATGTTGTTGCAAATGGCAGGATTCCTTCCTTCTTTTCTTTTCTTTTCTTTTCTTTCTTTCTTTCTTTCTTTCTCTCTCTCTCTCTCTCTCTCTCTTTCTTTCTTTTTCTTTCTTTCTTTCTTTCTTTCTTTCTTTCTTTCTTTCTTTCTTTCTTAGTAATATATATATATCTCACACTTTCTTTATCCAGCCATCTGTTGGTGGACACTTGGGTTGTTTCTCTGTCCAGGCTGTTGTAAATACTGCTGCAGTGAACGTGGGAGAGCAGGTATCTCTTCAAGATACTGATTTAGGGGCACCTGGGTGGCTCAGTCCATTGAGCATCAATCACGTAAAATGATTGCTGAGTGTCCCAGGGTCGTGGGATGGAGCCCCTCATTAGGCTCTGAGCTGAGTGTGAGTGTGGAGCCTGCTTGGGGTTCTCTCTCTCTCTCTCTCTCTCTCTCTCTCTCTCTTCCTCTCCCTCTCCCTCTTAAAAAAAACCTTAAAAAAGGATATTGGGGTGCCTGTGTGGCTCCGTCAGTTGAGTGTCTGACTTTGGCTCAGGTCATGATCTCACAGTTCATGAGTTCGAGCCCCACATTGGGCTTGCTGCTGTGGGCCTGTCAGTGCAGAGCCCCCTTCGGATCCTCTGTCCCCCGTTCTCTCTTCCCCTCCCCTGCTTGTGCTCTTTTTCTCAAAAAACGAAATAAAACATTTTTTAAAAAATTAAAAAAGATACTGATTTAATTTCCTATCTTTACCCCCATCTCTATCATCTATCTCTTTCTACATCTCCAGAAGTGGGCTTGCTGGATTGTAGGGTAGTTTTTTTTTTTTTTTAACGTTTATTTATTTTTGAGACAGAGACAGAGCATGAACAGGGGAGGAGCAGAGGGAGAGGGAGACACAGAATCTGAAAAACAGGCTCCAGGCTCTGAGCTGTCGGCACAGAGCCCGATGCGGGGCTCGAACTCACGGACCGTGAGATCATGACCTGAGCCGAAGTCGGACGCTTAACCGACCGAGCCACCCGGGCGCCCCTGGGTAGTTCTGTTTTTAACTTTGCAGGGACCTCCCTACCATCTTCCGACAGTGCACAAATGTGCCCTTTTCTCCACATGCTCTCGGGCACTTGTGTCTCTTGTCTTCCTGAGATGAGCCTTCTAACGGGTGTGAAGGGATGCCTCATTATGGTTTTTATTCGTGTTTCTCTGACAATGAGTAATGTGGAGCACCTTTTCATGTACCCGTTGGCCATTTGAATATTTTCTTTTGTATGATTTCAATCTTCTTAAGTTTGCTAAGATTTGTTTTGTGGCCTAACATATGGTCTATCCTAGAAAATGTTCCATGTGCCCTTGAGAAGAACATATGTTCTACCACTATCAGATGGAATGTTCTATGTTGTCTGTTAGGTCCATTTGGTCTATAGTCTTGTTCAAATATGCTGCTCCCTTACCGGTTCTCTGTCTAGGTGACCTATCCATTTTTGAGAGTGGCTTATTAAAGTCAGCCATCAATATCATATTGCTGTTTATCTCTCCTTTTAGTTATGTTAGTATTTGCTTTATGTGTTTAACTGCTCTGATGTTGTTGGGTGCATAAATGTTTACAATTGTTATATCTTCTTAATGGATTGACCCCTTTATCGTTATAGAATAACCTTCTTTGTCTTCTTTGATCATTTTTAGCTTAAAGCCTACTTTGGGGGCGCCTGGGTGGCGCAGTCGGTTGAGCGTCCGACTTCGGCCAGGTCACGATCTCGCGGTCCGTGAGTTCGAGCCCC